GACTTTGTAACAACAAAAAAAACCCTTCAGAAGCCATTAATAACGAATGAAATTCTTCGTTTGAATCAAAGCCAACAGTCATGCTAGATATATCTGACACATCTACTGAGGATAGCATTTTTGATCCAAGTCGTAATAAACGTGCACGCATGTTATCAAGTAGCGATGATTAGCTGTTAATTAATAGTTTTATTCCTAATTTCAATTTGAATTTTTATATGTTGTATGTACCTACAGATTGAATTTTCACTGTACACTAATGAAAATTTTTTTGTAATAAAAATTGTTTTTGTTTTTTTAAAAAAATGAATATGGATTTCATTATTACTTTTTTTGCACGGTTTTCTGAGAAACGCATCTACCGTGTAAAAAAAAAGTTGGGTGTATCTATGTTTGTAAATTCGGATGAGTTTTTTGTGTCTTCAAATTTAATTATGTCATTTCATATGGGTTCAGAACCTGTAGTTTCCTGGAAAAGAAATTTTTTTCTCCTAGTTGTAAGATTCTGATCTATGAACTCTAAGTTCTATTAAAAATGATTACCACAGAAAGAACTAATGCTCCTCAAAAAAATGTTTTTACTTTTTTAAAACAGATTTATTCAAAATGTTTCATCCAATTTCAAAATCCTATTTTTTTCATAAATGAACGGCATAGAATAAGAAATACTTGAGAATGCAAACAGAAAATATGGAAGTTTTTTTTACATGTGTTCGATATAATTTCCTTTAGTTTCTCGCGAATAATGTCAATTCGATATGTAAATTCCAGCCAAACCCTTTGTAAAGTGTCAGTGGAAATTTATTTGTACAGAAACAGAAATCTATTGTTGAAGTTCGCATAATAAACTTGTGAGTAATGGTAATCCATACACTTTATCTTTTACAAACTCCCAATGGAAGAAATCGCATAGGACCATATCAGGTGATTTAGGTAGCCAGTTGTGTAACATAAAATCGTTTGATCCATTGCGAACGATCCAACTGCGAGGTAGCAGTGTGAAAGCTACAAAAAAAAAGCATTCGTGAAATAAATTCACGGAGAACATACGAGGGCCATCTATTTTTCTCATAATAAAACTTCCAAAGTTTTATTCTATATTCATGTATTACCTATCATTTTGTGTCGTTTATTTTTGAAAGTATGGAATTTTGAAATCGGATGAATCATTCTGAATAACCCTTTGTTAATACCAAATTTTAAAAAAAAATTAAAGAGCTTTAAATTACTAAATTTTATTTTGCAGTGGGTGAAATTTCTAAAATATACTGTAAAATAATTGAATTTACGGTGTTTTATCTCTAAAACAAATTTCCTAAATATCTGTAGATTATAAAGACTGTCGTAAAATGAACGTTAGTATTATCCTTCCTGACTATAGATAGAAAAATTCAGCCTTGTAAAGGATTTAAATTATTGTAGGAAGCCCCGTGATATAGTTATCTTATTTTTGGTGAAAATTGGATTATGAAAAAGTTTCGCTTGTCACTTCTGCGCTTGAAGGAGTTTGCTCTAACCTAATGATCATAAGCTTATTGGAAATGTTGATTTCATGAGTCGTGAGTTCCAATCCTGATGTCACTAAAAACTCGTCGAGTAGCAGGGCTACATATTAAACTTCTCAGGGTTCAAAGTCCTCCCAAAAGGGTGGTGGGGAAGTTGGTGAGTATTTCAAAGTCTTCCCATAAGGGTGGTGGGGAAGTTAATGAGTATAGTGGGGCTACATGTTAAACCTGTCGGGGTTCAAAGTCTTCCCATAAGAGTGGTGGGAAAGTTGGTGATTATTTCAAAGTCTCCCCATAAGGGTGGTAAGGAAGTCGATGAGTACAGCTCTAGCTCTCGTGTCGTCCTCGTCAGATTCAAAACTACAAGGCACCCGTAATTAATAATTATGAGGTCCATTGCCAATAGTCCTCGTGCTGCTTTTAAATTGAACGTAAATAAACAATCAAAAAATATCCGGTTGATGCTATTTTATTTATGTGGAAATGAAACTTCAGGATCCCTGATCTTAGATTTTTTTTTTGAAGTATTTCTCTTCTTTAAAGTTCTGAAAGAATGTTTAAAAGATTTATTTTAATGAATTGATTTATGATTTCGTTTCTTCACGTTTAAAAAAACGTGTCTTTACGTGTGATTTTTATAAAGAGCCATCAATAATTATGACATAAGAATACTCCGACAGTGATTAATGATATTTAAAAGACAAAATTTCTCCTATGACAGAGATGTAAGAGTTTTTCAAAAACATTTATCGAGTAATTCTTTTATTTCTAAACGTGAAGATTACTTATTCTAAAAAAATTTTAATGCGTTTCATTTTTATAGCCGTGTAAATAATTTTTTTGAAAAGTATATGTAATATAAAGTGATTAACGATAAGAAAATAATGTTAATTATATATCAATTTTTTAAAAAAGTAACGAATTTCAAAAAAATGGGCTTGATTTAATTAATGGCCATTCTTCTTGTAGAGTTTTCGGTATTAATAAATTCTAGCGTTTGATTAATTTATACAGGATTACTCAAAATGAATCAACCGATTTCAAAATTCCAAATTTTCAAAAGCAAAAAACACGGAAGGACAAGTAATACATTAATGCAAAGGAAAAATGTGGATGTCATATCGAGAACAATAGGCGCCCCTCGTGTTCTTCGTGAAAGCATTTCACGAAAGCTGTTTTAGAAGCTTTCACGGAGCTACCTCGCAGTTGGATTAATCGCAGTAAACCAGTTGATTTGATGTTACACAGCTGGTCACCTGATATGGCCCCAAATAATTTCTTCCTTTGGGGGTTTGTAAAAGATAAAGTGTATGCGCCATCATTACCTACACATTTATATGAGTTTAACGACTTTCTACTGCTGTATAAGAAATTACCACTGACAATTTACAAAGTGTTTGGCAGAAATTTACATATCGAATTGGTATTAAAAGTGTAACCAAAGAAAGTTATATCGAACACCTGCAAAAACACTTCCATATTTTTTCTTTGCATTCATGTATTAATTATCATTGTGTTTTTTTCTAATGAAAATATAGGATTTTGCAATCATATTATTCATTTTAAATAACCATGTGTATTTGTTTGAATTAAAAACAATTTAAAGTTTTTCCGTTAGCTCTTGACAAAATATCGAGTGATTTTAAGCTACAATTCGAAACAAGAAGGAAATTTGAGCTTGTCCAAAGTTTACATTCACCAAAATTCCAAGTCCGTGTGTACTTAATAATGAAAATTTTCATTATTACGAGAGTATGTGTGCGTGTATGTATATGTATATCGTTGGTAAAAACAAGTCTCGACTTTGCGACTTACCAACGACTAAACTACAATTCCATTAAATGACTACTGAAGTGAAACATTTTAATATATCTGATTTTGTTAATGATAAAGGCACAAGCTCCTCGATTTTACTCGTAGTTTATCCGTAATATTATAAACCATTGCTTATTGCGGGTACTTCAGCAAAGTTAGAGGGTAGTACTACATTAAACTCACAAATTGCAAACAATTAAGCGGCAACTCCTCACGAATTTCTACTCTAAAGATTGACAATTGATAATTGTAAAAAAAATATCCTCATTTAGAGAGGGGCAAGAATATTCACTAAATTGGTCAATATGTTGATTGAAATCAAGTTTAACAGTTTATTTTTTATTGTTTTGACATTATTATCGATAGTAAGTCTCGCACATAGAATTCTATCAGTAACACATACTTGCTATAGTGAGCCAGTAATTCCCGAAAGTTTCAAAATTTTCTCCACCAGGTTGAAAACTTTATTAACTCTGCAGATGAATTTTTTTTTATAGTTTGCATACACAAATTTATCATGGTTACCCAGATTTGAATCCGTATCCATCTTTTTAAAATTAATTGAGATGCAACGTAACCTATCTCCACTCTGGTAAACCCTGGGAAACGTTCTTGTAACAGCAAAGTGATCTACATTTATCGGCAGTGTTTCACGGGATGTCTTCCCGCCACCTTTCTCGCCAAGTTTCGGAAGCTGATCTTAGTGATCTGCAATGTAACACTGGTGGTTAGTCACAACCAAAACAGATGACGGGTCATTACGGCCTGGTATGCATCTCCATCGTATTAGAATTCTTACGAACCCTGGTTGCGCCTCTCAATGATTCGGCACAACCAATGAATAGAGACCACCTGCGTCTATGTGCGATATTTCACAGCAACTCAGAAACGGCGCTTTTCTGGCGTCCTAGAGAACTTTTGAGGCTTTTAGTTTTTAGTTTAGTTTTTATTAACGTCGCACTAGAAGCAACACGAGGGCTATTGGCGACGGACCTCGTAATTTTGAACCACGGTCAAGTGACGAGGACGACACCTGAGCTGGCACCCCCCTCTCCTAACATCCACACCACGCCAACAGGAGGACTTTGGACCCCGAACAGATTTAACGTGCATCAGCCCCGGCTACACGGCGGGTCTTTGGCGGCCAAGGATCGAACCCGCGACTGAACGATAACCGCCGGCCGCTAGTCCTCGACCGAACTTTTGAGGCATTGACTTCGGTCACTTATTTAATCTGTTCTAGTTTTTATGTTTGTATTTGCCTTGCCCTTGGAAATTTTAAAAAAATGATCTCAGAAACCTCGCCAATTCTTTATATTTCTGTCAAATGAGGCTAGTTTAATTATAGGATAATGTGATAAAGTGTTTGGCAACAAGCTCTTCTTTTTTCTCATTCAAAAGATTATTCAATTTATTTTCTAATATTCTCCGTTTAAGAATGTAACATTTCGAGAATTATCAATTTCTTTAGAGATAAACTCTTTTTTCTTTAAATTATAATAAACCCTCTCTAAATTCATGTTCACATGTTAACATTAATTAAACTTCGAAATTTTCTCATTATTAAGTAATGCACTTTCAATGCATTATTTAATACGGCATGGAGGGTCGGCCGAAAGACTTTAACACTTCCGCTTTCCCGGCGTATGGGCGGTTTCCGAGGATGATCTTCGCCGGTTGTGCCTCAAGTCCAGACAGCTTACCTTGAAAAAAACTAAGGAGCTCAAAGCAGGCCTCTCGCCTGGGCAAGGATGCATGGAACAATGAGATAGGTCCTCGGTACTATTGCGTTAGTTTTCGGAACTCGAAATGAGGATCAATAGGGACAGACGGTGACATTCTTACTGCGACGATAGAGGTGAAATACTAGGACCGTCGCAGGACGAACGACTGTGAAAGCACTTGTCAAGAATGTTTTCATTGACCAAGAACGAAAGTCAGAGGTTCGAAGGCGATTAGATACCGCCCTAGTTCTGACCGTAAACTATCCCAACCAGCGATCCCGCTGTGTTTCTGAAATGACACGCCGGGCAGCTTCCGGGAAACCAGAACTTTTGGGTTCCGGGGGAAGTATCGTTGTAAAGCTGAAACTTAAAGGAAATGTCGAAAGGGCATCATCAGGGTTGAATCTTGCTGCTCAATTTGATTCAACACGGGTTAATTCACCCGGTCTGGACTCGGCAAGGATTGACAGATTAAGAGCTCTTTCTTGATTCTGAGGGTGGTGGTGCATGACCATTTTTATTTCGTGGGAATGATTTGTCTGGTTAATTCCAATAACAAACGAGACTCTAGCCAACTAAATAGACTGACCAGAGCTGTATCTAGGCAATTTCTTCTTAGAGGGACAACACGCAAGAGGGACAGTCATTGCCCGCAATTGTAAATAAAAGCTATTCTGTTTTCGAGACGCTTTCAGTTTATCCATATCGCTTAAACAAAACTGAATCAGCTTATTTGCAGATCCTGTCAGTCGGACGCCAGATATTGAGCTCCGCTCTCAAATTAAGGATATCCTTTTCGGAATTCTTAGTACACGTAGTATCATGCTTTAAAAAATCCTATTTTAAAATGGCTGCTTGGCGTGATTTTTGAAATCGCACCACAATGGCGCCAAAACCAGGTTTTTCAAACTCGAAGCGGGAAAGGGATGGCGCCGTGTCAGGAAGACAAATTTTGAAACAAGATGGTGTTTTCGCCGAAGCAAAGGATTTGGAATAATCAATAAAGCAAGTCTTAAAACATGTATGTCGCATAAAGAATAAATTATAGAACGTAGGGATAAAAAGGTGATTTCGAAAACCGTAACAACGGGAAATGAAATTGCATAAAAAAGGAGTTTTCGAACTTGAAACCGTTAAAAAGCAAATTACATTATGAAGGTTAACGCTGGATTTTCCAACTCGTGGTCGTTGCAAATAGAAACAAGATGGCTTGTTGTCAGAATAACAGTTTTGTAAGCTTTGCAGTTCTAATTAAGACATGAAAAATACATTTCATTAAAAAAAACCACTAAAAAGTGAACGGAAGGAAAAAATTTACTGACCTTATTTTGAAGAGATGCCTGCTTACATAGACAGGTAAATGGTTGCCGACCACGTTTAATCAACATATCTTCAGGAAAATGAAATTTTTAAAAAGGGTACATTTTCAACACTTTTAACGAACGCTTGTCTGCGGACCAAGATTACCAAACGAATCTCGTGATATTCAACTAACTGCTTTCAAATCGATTAACTTTTTTACGCTGTTTTTTTTTATTTTCTTATCGAAAAGGATTACATAAAAATACAGAAAGTCATTAAAAAGAGAACTCAGAAATCCTACGCAACGGCTCATTTTCAAATTTCCCAGTGCTCAGTGAAGCCTAAGACAATGACAAGTCAAGCATAAAAAAAGGAGAATCCCCAAGCTCCCCTAAAATAGGATCCTCCCCTCTATACTCAGTATTCAAAATTTAAACAATAAATCTCCTCGCAACTGTAGACTTGTAGACTATTTCCAAGAAATCAAATCAAAAGAATACACCATAAAACTAAGTTGTATTAACACAGCAATTTCTTATCTATCTAGAAAACAACAACAAAAAACTGCTGCCAGATTCCGAACAGCCGATTACACTCAATAACAAAAAGATAAAAAGTTGATTTATACGAGGGTTGCTATTTATATTTCTGGCCTTGGCAACAGTAAGTGTTGCTAGGCGACCGCAGACGATTTTAATCGAAAGTTTGATATTTTTAAACATAAATTCAGCAAACGATTTACCATTATAGCTTTATTTGTGTTGTTGACAGTAAATTGAAAAGTTCTTCTCTGTCAAAAAATGGAATTGAATCGTGAACATTTCCGTGCCATTATTTTTCATAACTTTCGACGTGGATTGTCAAGACAAGAGTGCTTCGATGAACTTAATTCTTTATACAGCGATAAAGCGCCATCCTACAGCACTGTAAAAAATTGGTATAACGAATTTAATCGTGGTCGATGTTCGATCCAGGACGAATCCCGTGCAGGTCGTCCAAAATCCGTTGTTGTGCCAGAAAAGATCAATGCTGTGCGTGAACTGATAAAGCACGATCGTCATGTGACATACCGTGAGATAGAGGCGTCTTTGGACATTTGTATGACTAGCATCAATAAAATATTGCATGAACATTTGAGCGTAAAAAAAATTTGTTCGCGTTGGATCCCGCATAATCTGACAAACGCTCAAAAAAAGGCTCGTGTCGATTGGTGCAAGGAAATGTTGGAAAAATACATTCAAGGTACATCAAAGGCTGTGTATAACATCTACACAGGTGACGAATCATGGATCTATGCATATGAGCCGGAAACAAAACAGCAATCAACTGTATGGGTCTTCCAAGATGAGGCAAAACCAACAAAAGTTGTTCGAGGAAGAAGCACATCGAAACAAATGATTGCCTGTTTCTTCGGCATTAACGGTCATGTGGCAACAGTGGCGTTAGAGCAACGCAGGACGGTCAATTCTGAATGGTACACGACCATTTGTTTGCCAGAAGTCATCGGAGAAATTCGAAAAAAGCAGAAGAACAGGCGAATCATTCTTCATCATGACAATGCGAGCTCTCACACATCGACTCAAACAAAGGCATTTCTGACGGAGCGAAAGATCGAACTGATGGGTCATCCGCCGTACAGCCCTGATTTGGCACCCAATGACTTCTTCTTATTCCCACACATCAAAAATAAATTACGTGGACAACGATTTTCGACCCTCGAAGAAGCGGTTGATGCATTCAAAACGCATGTTTTGGAGGTACCTCAATCGGACTGGAAAAAGTGCTTTGAAAATTGGTTCAAACGCATGCAAAAGTGTATTGATCATCATGGAGAATATTTTGAAAAACAATAAAACCAATTTCGATCCTACATATTTGTTTTTTCATTATTAGGACAGAAATATAAATAGCAACCCTCGTATCCTTGATAAAAGAAAATAATTCTTACAATGTCACGTGATACATTTATGAAACAAAATATGAAATATAAAGTAAAAACAGTCATTTCCTAACAGCTGTAAAAATAAAAATCACTAAGTACAAGTTCATCACACGAGTGAATTTTAAAAATCAGCAATCCTGCTATCAAGTATGAAATATTTTTAATGAGAGCTCCCATCCAATACGGTTATGAAATTCGAAAATTTGTTAAACTTACAGCTTCGTTTTGTTGAACATAGAAAGTTCTTGAACAAATCCATGTATGATCAATAAATTATCCTAAAATAATTATCAAACTATTGAAAATATCTACTAACAAAAGATTTTATACCCGCAAGTACTGTAAATAAATATTACATTTAAAAAAAAAATATTGGGAAAAAATTGGTTCTGATCTGTTGGAAAATACGAGGGAAATATGAAAAATATCACCATAAATAAGGAGAGAAGTGAAAAATGTCACCACAAAATAAAATTTAAAAAATTTGGGCGAAAATATGCTTATGGCTCCATCTACACTTCAGTGAAATATCTTAAAAAATTTAGATTGATACGATTTAACGCTGCGGATTTGTTTAACGCTAGAATTACCAAGGCGGGTCATCTGTGACTCAAAACGGGGATTTTTGCTAGTATCACATTTGTGTTTCAAAATTGAGCTTTCTAATTTTTTTGATTTTTCCTAAATATTCAGTCTTATGTCTTAAAATGAATTTAGTTGAATTCTAAGGAATTTTTTTTTATATTTATTTATATATCTATATACCTAGAGCTACCATAGAGGGTCACCTGTCTAACGTCTCTTTGATTGTTTTAATGTTAGTACATTAAATTTAGCTATGGCACAAGAGGCGACTAGGAATGGTTCGCCGTCACAAGACAACAGGTTCTAATCTGAGCAGAAGAGACTATATTCTAAAATTATCAGAGGAGCTAAGAAAGAAATATATTGCAAAAGAAGCAGAATTTATCCGTACATGTACTTTCCCATAAGTTTCAAACAAGCGAAAATGTTCCCAGATAAAGCTATCCAAAGACAATAAAACTAATATTGTATGTGAAAAATGTTCAAAATTTGCATTTGTATTATGCACATGACAAAAAGAAACAAAGTCTATAGCATTCTGTAAGATATGTTTCGAGAAAAATTAGAATAATTTTAGTAAAATGTCATGCATATTTAGTTTTTATTGTGATTTAATGCCTTATTAATCTTTAAGAACATTATGAGATTTAAATTAATTATAATATATATTATTAGAAAGATGTTTTCACATTTCCTTTTTTGTTTGTTAATAGCCCTCATGTTGCTTCTAGTGCGACGTTAATAAAACCAAAGCATTTCATTTTATACAATCTGCCAAAATTTTAAAGTATGCATTCTGCAATTAGAAAATAAAAACTTTTTTTAAAGATAATTTCCAATTAACTAAATTTCACGCTATATAATATTCTAGAAGCTAAATTTAATAAGTCATTAATTAAAAATCATTGTATTAATCATGAATGAGTGAGTGAATGTAGGTTTTAATGGCGCAAGAGTCAAAGTAGGCTATGCTGCGCCAAACACTTGTTAAAATCTATTAAAAAGTAACGGCCTTAAAAACACAAGACAAACACAAATAACACACAAAAGATAAAAAGTTAAGAATCAAATGTGGTGTAAAAGGCCAATATGACGTAAAAAAGCATATAAATTTTGGTGGGGGGTTTCCCCCACCAAGTCAGTTTAGTTTAGTTTTTATTAACGTCGCACTAAAAGCAACACGAGGGCTATTGGCGACGGACCTCGTAATTTTGAACCATGGTCAAGTGACGAGGACGACACTTGTGCTGGCACCCCCCTCTCCTAACATCCACACCACGCCAACGGGAGGACTTTGGGCCCCGAACAGATTTAACGTGCATCAGCCCCGGCTACACGGCGGGTCTTTGGTGGCCAAGGATCGAACCCGCGACTGAACGAAAACCGCCAGCCGCTATCCACGACCTTGACCACTAGGCTACCGCGCCCCCCCCACCAAGTCAGATAGATTTAAAACAGATGAATGAAAAAAAGTCCGGCGATGATGATCAAACACCGGACAGTCAATTAAAATGTGATGAATAGAGTAAGGGACATGACAGGAAAGACACTCGGGAACATCTTCTCCAAACAAAATATGTTTGTGAGTAAATCGAGTATGTTCAATGCGAAGGCGAGTTAATCTGACATCGGCTCTTCGCATTGGAAAAACAGGCCATTCTCCGATGATCGGCTTCACCGAGGGTAATTTGTTATTAATCTGTAGATTCCATGATTCCTGCCATGTCTGATGATTGAGAATTAAAATGTGACGTCGTATGTCTTCAAGTGGGACTGCAAGCTGCAGAGGATTCGTTACCGAAC